TATCATTAATCATCTCTATACCAGTAATAACCACGGGCCACTACAAAGGAACACTTTTAAAAATGCACTCTGCCACAGCTACTCTGAGGCTCAATGATGTCAAGAAGTCATGCATATTAAAGGCAGTAATTATAGCTCCATGCATTTTTTATAAGGCAACTAATAACTCATTGCTGTGATGACTGGCATGGATTCTACAAAGTAATTTCCTGTTTTATTTTGTAATTCCACTTAGCTATGATGCCTTGTCAGTTTTACTCTGTGTCTCTGTTTGTTTTCCGGATATTTTTTTTAATAACGCCTCTTTTTAATTAGCTGTCATTGTCCCTTGTTTATGCATCTCCTGTAAAGCTCTTGCCACTGGCCTTCAGTTCCCAGTCGAGCATTTTTTATTATTGCTTCTCCGTATCCTTTCCTGTAAGTTTTGAGCACAGGGTGGGTTTTGTATTCTAGTTTGATTTTTCTGGAGACATTTACTGCACTGTTTGCTTTGAACTGCCTTCCTGTGTAATCCCTTATTACTCGCCTAGTCACCAAAAAAAAAAAAAACAATTAAAAAGGTAGGGTTCATTGATAGGCGCATTTTAGCCTTATGCTAAACAAGAAAATAGAATATTTCATCTTTCAAATAAATGCTCTTACATCTATTTTAGCCTTGTAGTTCTGTGGTTGTAAGGCTTTCCTTTTCGGTATGTTAAATAGAGGAAAAAGTCCGTGTACAGTGACAGATGTGAACCCAACCCTTCAACAAGTCACTAAAAGTTCCTCTGTCAAATTGCTATATTTGGGTCGGCTCCTACAACTATAAGCAACAGCGTAGAAATTTAAAAAATAAAATTACATGAACTATTTCCTCGACAGATGCAAAAGCCCAGGCATGAGTTGCTTTGCTGGAAAATTATCAACATGATTTTGTAACGCAATGCAATGCAATGCAATACGCTGCTCTGTTTGGGTTATGGAGAAATAAGTTTTAGGATTTAGTATTTTCACTGGAATACAATTTCATAATGTGTCAACTGGTTGTTTTACATAATCGCTATGAGGCTTAAGTTAACAGTGCTTCCTCTCCTTCACATCCCCAAGTTTTTACAGTGACACATAATCTCTCTTTGGCTGAACAGTTCAGTATTGAGGCTCCAGTATCACCATTAATTAAGGTGTCTCTACTTAAGAGTTTGGCAAGGTCACGTCTTGGCTCTGAATTTAGGTTTATTATTAAATTAAAAATAGCGGCAATGTGTTTTATACATTCTGAAATTTGTTGCTGAGTTGTCTCAAACCAAGAAACAAAATTTTAGTGCATTAAGAATCCCTTCATAACGTTAAAAAAGGTGTATTAGTTTCTTCACATCCAGGACTGCACAAGATAGTAGAAGTGGCATGAGGTCTTGACTTTAGTGCCAGAGCAAAGAGAAAACTGTGACTGAGGAGGCAGACAGACCTTGAGCGACTCAATTCATTCTATTAATTCATTAGCAGAAATTCTCTGTTGTCTATTCTCACCAAACTTTAGTAATTCTTAGTGTACAACAAGTACTTGCCTTAAAAGCTCAAAAAGAGATGGATTTTTACAATAATAGAAGTAAATGTTGTCACTGTCTGTCTGTGTACAGTTGTGACTCATATTCTGCTTTCACTGAGCCAGACTTTAGGTTATATTTCTCCATATTTTCTGAAGGTCCTACAGAGACTTTCTATGGAAACTGCGTGTTTTTCCACTCATTTTTAGTCCAGTTCTCATATCTGACCATTTCCAGAGAATTGCTTTTTTTGTTAAGCCACTTAACACCGACCTATTAGTTAATATAACAATGCCTCCACATCAGTGCTGATACAGAAGGAGAAGAAGTCAAAACAGTAGGCAAAGAAATTGTTTTTTTCCACAGTATTTCAAACTGTTTCAACAAGTCCTGTGTATAATCTGCGAATCTCTGAACTTCTGTTCGCCAGCCACTGCATAGTAGGTGTGGTGAAGCCCTTACATTTCAACACTGGACCTCTCCACACCCTCATCCAATGATGTTCTAACATCAAGGTTTAAGACCAGCTTCTGGACCAGTGATTCCCAAAATGTGCCCCGGGAAGGTACTGCAGGTGGGCCGTGGTAATAACAGAACTTCAGTTTGAAATTACTCACAAGTATGTACAGTTACAAATTTATATAAATGTATTTATTCATATGAAAAGTATTAAAACTGGTAATATTTATAGACAACAGCATTTTGAATAAAATTTTCAAGGAAACATATCACCCTCTCTTATATTTGAATGGAGTAACGGTTTAAGATTCGTTGAGCCCCACAGATTTGCTGGTTTTTAAGTGGGCCGCAGCACTCTTGACTTTAGGAATGGCTATTCTAGACCAGTGGCATTACTGGAAAGGTCCCCAGGATGGGAATTTGGGGCAAGTGCCACCCATTGCTACCCTTCTGTACACGCCCCTGCTCAGTGACGCCAAGCTGCTGCAAATTTCATTAAAAATTTGCAATAAAACATCTAATTTAAAAAAATTACACTAAAATTCTTCTGGAGCTGTCTATCTTTAATTAAACCACACCACCTCTCTCAAGTGACACTGCGCAGGAACAAGCGCCCGTGAAACAATAAGACCCGTATCCGTGACAGCACGGGACAAGGCACGAGCCTACTTTTTGTCGCTGCCTGGTGATGTGTCCCGGTCACTCTCACTAAAGCCTGTAGGAGACACTTTTCCCTCAGCATGAAGGCTGTTAGATCCGCTGCACATGTTAGCTATGAAGGTATCTACAGCACGTGCAGCCATCAAATAAAGTTTGACAGCAGCGGAGTGTTCTTCAAATATTACAACCCTATTCTTCCGCCAAGTTATATAGTTCTTTAACGGAAGAAAAACAAAAAGTCATGTGACGCTAAGCAGCGGCATGCTAAGACTTTGTGTTAAAATATTCAAATTAATCGCTACGTGCTCACAGGTGTCCCATAACTGACGCTTTTTCTGCCGTCTAAAAACATCCCTAGTTTAAAATCAAAGCACCGGGACTGCCTGCTTGTCTCGGTTTACTCGCGAATCACTTCACGTGCACATCCCGAGAAGATAATGAGACCTCAGCGGTCCTGCATCAGTGCGGGTGTCCGCACTTCAGCATCAGCCCCGCGCCCCCGGAGCACTGCGGTATACTCGCCGCGTGAGTTACAGAGAAACTGGACCAGAAATTACACACTCGGTGAATACCGCGTGAGATTATGGAAAGACGTCCTCCTTCAGCCCCGTGCAAAGTTTCCCACGAGTCCCGCAGGACACCTGAGAGCGAGTACCTACCGTCAATCGCCATGATGCTCCGTCCCGGACTCTACCAACTGTAGGGGGGTGTGGGGGTGTGATGGAGGCGGCCGGTCATTCATTTGTGTGTGTGTGTGTGTGTGTGTGTGTGTGTGTGTGTCACAGAGAGAGCGAGAGAGGTTGTGTAACAGTTCTATATGTATATAATAATAATAATAATAATAATAATGGATACTTTATTGATCCCCATGGGGAAATTACTTGTTTTTCTCTGCATTTGACCCATTCACTCAGTGAAGCAGTGGGCAGCCCACTAAGCAGGCGCCCGGGGAGCAGTGTGTAGGGACGGTACCTTGCTCAGGGGTACCTCAGGGTAGCCGTTCGAACCGCCGACCTTCCGATCATGGGGCGACCACTTTACCTACTGAGCTATCCCTGCCCCAATATATATATGTGTATATATTTAATTATATAAAACAGGCTACAAATAATAATATGTGCAGTATAACTGTATTATTGATGTAGGTTGGTTATTTTTGTTCTCCGTGGTAACATTCATTTGGATTTCATTCATTTGTCCAGTTGTAGTAACCTACACTTTAGAAGTCTGCTGTTATGCTACATTATTCCAGTTATTCCACCTCATTTCTGGGGCAAATATTGTGCGTTTAACTGCAGTCCAATTGCACTCTCTTTCCAAAAAATTGTAATTGTTGAATAAAAAATACCTAAGACCCGATATTGATAAGATAATGATAAATGCTTCTGTTTCTTCTGGAGGAGGGACCCTCCTGCTTCCTCAGTTGATCATGAGAAGGCGTAGCCCATCTTCCTCCACCGCTTTTTATCTCCTCAAACCTCTACCTCCCCCTCTCCTTCCACCTCTCCATCACTCTCCATTTTTTTCTTTCTCCCCTCCCTTCTTCATCCATTTTCTTTTCTTTTTTCACCCTCGCTTAACTTATTCTTAACTAACAATAAATATAATCAACCATATTTTTACTTGTGCCAAATCAATGTCTTCATTCAAGAAAAATTCATCTTAAGAATAAAAACAACAAATGTGTGATGTGTGTGTTGATGGACCGGCACACATATGTTTTACATTTTAGCAGTATCTGTTGTGATACGTCTGAGAGTGAAGTTAAGTAACGTGGGTTACTAGTGGTTCCGAGAATATTTAAAAGTGGAATGGGAGCCAGAGCCTTCGGCTTTCTCTGCCTTCACGATTAAGCTTAAAACTTTCCATGTTGATAAATGTAACTCTATACACCACACCCTGTCCAAGTATTGTTGCTGACTATGTCCTTCCCTTTACGACCACAGTGTACCCATCTTCTCATGGCTGCTTCCAGCAGGACAGCATGCTGTCTCACTGCGCTCAAATGGCCTTCACACGCACCACATCTCAATCCAACAGTGCACCTTCGGGGTGTTTTGGACCCGTAGATTCACATCATGAATGTGCAGCTGACAAATTTGCAGCAACCGCATAAGGCTTTCATGCCAGTATGAACATGTCTGAAGAATGTTTCTAGCACTGTGTTGAATCTGTGACATGAATGATTAAGACAGTTACGAAAGCAATAAAAGAGTCCAGCAACTGGATCTAATATTGCCTGTGAGCTCAATAAAATAAAATATAGCAGGAAAACAACGCCAGATCAGTTTCTCCTCGTCGTTAACAAACAATCAAGCGTTACCCCACACTGCTGACGTCACTACGGGAAGTCACGCCCATTAGACTTCCCCTTACTTTACATTTCCGCAAAGTTTTGGAGTTGTGGCAGGCTTCCCTTAATCGGGTTTATTACAGTTTTGTTTATAGACATTTATAAGCTAAAAGAAAAGATGAGTGAAATTAAGCCCAATGATAAAGGGTCGAGTGAAGAGAGCGCCGAGGAACAAGACTGGGCAGCGGCTAAGGCTGCTTTCGACAACCTCAAATCTAACAAACCCAGACCTGTGAGTGTTTTAATGCTATTTTCCTTTTCGTTAGCATGTTTGCTGTGTTATATACTTTCACGAAGAGTTGTTTGGGTAACAAACCCCTGAACATGTCTTGCATTTCTTTTTTCTCATTGTTCATGCACCCCCAGCCCAAACCCAAGAATGCAGTCACCATCGCCGTCTCCTCTCGCACTCTCTTCAACATGAAGGCCGAGAGGAAGATCTTTGAGGAAGAGGGCTTAGAGAAGTATGTCGCTTTCCAGCAGGAACATGAAAACGAGCCCCTAAAACCAGGACCTGCTTTTCCCTTCGTCAAGGTAGGCCTGGGCCCCTGTACTGTCAAACCTGCTGTGCAGGGCGTGTCCCCTCAGAAGTGTTCATTCACTATTACAACTGTCTGTGATCACATAGTTAAAGCCAGGGAATACTTATTGATAAACAGTAATAGCTAACAAGGGGCTGCATGTCTATCCCTACACCTAAGAGGAGGTGGTGTAAATGCAAGTGTTTGGCTGTTGTCACTGCTAGAGCAAACATGGCTAAAATAAGAGAAATACCTAACACCGCACCAATTGCTTAATATTTAACTTCTTCATTGCTTTAAAACCGGTTTTACTACTTGTTACAATGACATGGTACAAGCTAGGAAATCAAATCATTTTCAACAAAGAAGACTGAGAAGTTATTCCTGTAAAGCCTGATAGGTGCTGAGAGCTGATGTTTGCACATGTTTATCAGGTTCATTGTCTCACAGAGAGTTATTTTAAAACACTTCTGGTTTTCTCGTTTGACAGTCACTGTCCCTGTGGTTCATAATGAGTGCTTCAACTTTGCTGGCACAGCTGGTACCATAGCCACTCCTGCCATTCATAACAGCCAAACTGTCCAAACACAGAGCATTACAACATTAATGAATTTGGTACTAAATGCAAGGTTAATGTATTAGGTTGAAGTCATTTTACATAATAAATTATCAGCACAGTGTGTTTTTGTGCAATAATATACAAAGGGCCCTATCATCATTAATACATATATACTTTCTATTCCAACAGTTGACTGTCGGATAATAACACATGGATGAAAATATACTGGTAGTGCCCACAGCATGGAATAATAAATGTGACTTTTTTAATAGTAATTTCTCATATGCATGCAGCCCCGAAAGTCTACTCTACCTAGAGGGTATTTTAGATGTAGGTGTCAGATGGGTTCAAGGTGGGGGTGGGACTACATTAGAGATCTGCTGGTGATGGATAAGTTGACAGAAGAGGTCAGCCAGGAGTCTCCATGGACTATGATGTTTGCAGACATTGTGATGTAGTGGGAGTAGGGAGCAGGTCAAGGAGAGTCTGGAGAGGCGGAGTTATGCACTGGAGAGAAGAGGAATGAAAGTATGTAGAAGCAAGACAGAATACCTGTGTGTGAATAAGTGTAAGAGTGAAGCTGTAAGGAGGAGAGTTAGTGAAGGTAGATGTGTCTGAACCATCCAAATCAACAGACAGTTCACAAGAGAGGTGCAGGAGAGTGCAGGCAGGGTGGAGTGAGTGGAGACGAGTGTCAGGGGTGATTTGAGACAGAAGGATCGCAGCAAGAATGAAAGGGAGGGTTTACAAGATGGTAGTAATACCTGCTATGATTTGGAGATGATGGCACTAATAAAATGGTAGGAGGAGGACCTCAGAGAAGGTTCCTGGATGCAGTGTGAAAGAGCTGGCGTGAAAGAGGAGGTGGCTAGGGATAGGGTGAGACGAAGGTGAATGATCCACTGTGCCAACGCCTAAAGGGAGCAGCTGAAGGATGATGCATTGCTTTAAAAGTATGATTTAACCAAAAGAATAGTGGTTACTTCTGTTGAGCACTCATGCAATATCCTTGCTTTGGGTGTATAACATGGTTTGTTTTCTTGTGCCTTCTTAAGGCGCTGATGAACGTCAACACTCAACTGAGGGAGCTCTATCCAGACAACGAGGAGCTGTTTGATATCGTCTTAATGACCAACAACCATGCCCAAGTGGGAGTGCGCCTCATTAACAGCATTAATCACTATGGTATGCTGCGTCGAGGTCTGAGCGTGGAGTGTGATGTTGGATCAAGTCTAGCAATTGCGCGTCTAAAATGAGGAAGTCTTTCTTTTTCTGCACATCTTACTTGTTTTTTCTCCTTGCTTCAGATTTGACCATAGAGAGATTCTGCATGACAGGAGGGAAGAGTCCTATTGGTTACCTGAAGGCCTACCTGACAAATCTTTACCTCTCCAAAAGTGCAGACAAAGTCATACAGGCCATAGATGAAGGTAAGTGATGTTGGTCTAATATTTTAATCAGTACTTTGCAGAGTCTTGGACTTCCTTCACCACCTTCTAGATGTTTAAGTACTTCTTATATTTACAAGCCTCAATGTTGACTTTGTGACTCATTCACGCTTCAGAGGGAAATCTCGACTTCATACTAAACTGCAAGAAATAGCTGGTTGAAGGCAGCATGAGATTTACAGCCCGCCCACCATTCAAATGAACACAGAATAAGCTTGTGTGTTAACCATGATATTTATTTAAAACAAGGTGAATTAAGGGCTCTTGATAGGCTCAATTTATTGTGTACATACTATATACTGTTTAGAGGTTTTAATCCTTGCTTCGCTTACCTTTCATCAGGAATTGCTGCTGCCACAATGTTCACGCCGGACACAGAGCAGGAGCTAAGCAACACTCAGTTGAGAGTGGCGTTTGATGGTGACGCTGTTCTCTTCTCCGACGAGTCAGAGATCATCGTGAAGCAGCATGGCCTGGACTCTTTCTTTGAGCACGAGAAACATTTTGAGAACAAACCTCTCGCTCAGGTAACATATGGTTGTTTCCATCTTCTCCTACATCGCTGATGATTTTTTTCTTCCTTTTTATTTTGTTCTTCAGGAAACAAGAAGTGAGCATTTTCAAAAAGTTTAAGGACACACATAGAGTGCATAGTTATAGCTTACATAAAATAGAAGATGGGCTTTGCCCATGCCCCTCCAAACCTGTCTCAGGCATGCCTTTACCCACACCTCACCATGTGGGATCATTTCAGCCCAGGCGACACCTGAAGACTTTGCACTGCCACTGCAAAGACAATAGTGGTGTAACAACATACACAGAAATTTACATTAACTGCTTACATTTAGAATCTAGATTCTAGATTTTTGTTCTGTGAGGTTCTATCTAGAGATAGAACCTCACAGAACAAAAATCCCTCCACAAATACTGACCTAGTTGGTGCAGGATGTGGCAACATAATCAAAATACAACAAGTTGGAATATGGCTACGTCCCCTATTGCAGATATATATATTCTGTCCATCTGTGCAGACTGACTCAGATCCATTGCAACATGTTGGAGACAGGTTGCAACCTGTGCAATTACCTTGCAATCAAAAGTGGTCACCCAGAGGCTGAGAGTGTTCCATGCTACTTGTAATTGAACGCCATATCCCCCCAAAAAAGCAATGCTATCACCGGGGCAACTGCTGATGATCCTTATGTTATTAGGATGTTGTCCTGTATTTACTGTTGCATGACTGAGCCACTAGTCAAATACTATAAGTGTAGCCATTCACACTTTTTAACAAGTGTTTTGCTCTTTGTTTTTGTAGATAGTTTCACTGTGCAGTCATGGTGAACTGTTGTTTCAGAAGCTGACTCGGTATCAGTAGACAGTACTGGCTGTCACCGCATACTAATGCACCCCACTAGATTCCTCATTAATTACAGTGCAAGCTGCTGATATGAGCATATTACGCTCTGAGAATTATCTGTGGGGTTTACGCACCCCCTTGTGAGTTTGTAAATATGTTTCACATCATCTGAAGCATTTATTTTCCTTGTGTGTGCTTGTGGTTGTGTATATACTATCTGTATTATCCGTCCAGATTACAAGTAGTAGCAGTTTTTCAGTAACTGTGATCTTCTCCACCCAGTGCAACCATCCATCGAATGGAAAGATGATTTAAAAGAGAGGCTCTATGTAAATAAAAGCAAACACATTGCAGTGGATTTCTTCAAATCTAACCTATCACACACAGCTTTTTATCTTCACAGTCCTCATTTTAAATTCAATTTACTTTTATTCTTTGACTCTTTCAGGGACCATTAAAGTGTTTCCTGGAGGCCCTGGGAAAGCTCCAGAGAAAATTCTATGCCAAGAACGAGCGTTTGAACTGCCCCATCCGAACCTTCCTGGTCACGGCCCGCAGCGCTGCCAGCTCTGGAGCTCGTGTCTTGAAGACCCTCCGCAGCTGGGGCCTGGAGATCGACGAGGCTCTCTTCCTGGCGGGGGCTCCGAAAGGGCCCCTGCTTCAGAAGATCAGGCCGCACATCTTCTTTGACGACCAGATGTTCCATATTGAAGGGGCCACGGAACTGGGAACCATATCCGCACACGTCCCCTATGGAATCGGACAAAAGTACCACAAGGGAAAACTCATCGAGCAGCCTAAAAAAAAGGAATAACCTAAGAAAGGTTAAAAAAATAATATTACACTCGCACTACTTTTGCTCCAGATTAAATATTTATATTCATAAAAAAATGTCCATTAAAGGAATCCTAATTTTTAAAGGAATTTGCTCATGAATTGGCAATAAGCATTTTCCTCATGAGAGGGAATAACTGCTGAACAGGAGAATGTATTTTCACACCAGAGTTACACTAGGTGCTTTACTTTCACTTACTGCTGTCGAGGAAAAGCAACCTTTTGGTTGGTTTTAATGTTTGTGCTTACCACTTGAAAGATCTGCAGAATAAGTTTTCTGCTGTTTTTTTTTATTATGTTCATAAAAAAGGTTTATCCCTTTTATCTGTGAGGTTTTTGGCAAATACATATATAAATATATACATATAAAAGTACTGGTACAGATCACCAATTCCATTATTTTCGGTGTTTGGCAAAATCCTCACCCATTTCATATTTTGAAAGGGATTTTAGGAGGTAGAATAACTTCAGCTTACAAGGAGCGCTGATGCTGTTTCTGTGTGTTACTGTACTCATTTATTTTTGAAGTGCCACAAAACTTGATGTTGTTCTGTAGGCTGTTTACGCTGAGTCTGTGTGTCAGCCAACAAGCTGTAACCAGACTTTCTAGGATGGACTGACTACATCTACGTATGCCTTTGTATATGTTTGCAGATATTTATGAAATTTATATTGCATAAATATGTACCTTAATGGTCTGCATAACTAAATGTCAGGAAGAAGTTGCACAGATACACTCGCATGTTTTTATATGCTGGTATATTTAATCTTTTTCATTTTTGTACTCACATTGTGGTAACACAATGATAGCTTGTCTACACCATTTGACTTTTCTACCAGCGAGTAGTTAGATAAATAAAGGAATGCGATGAAACCCCAGTTGTTGTGTTTTGACAGTGTTGGGTAGTACCTAACTGCACGTACTGTAATTATTTGGAGGCACTTTATCCTGCTTTTTTCTTCATTTGACATAAAAATATACTAAAGATTCTCTCAGATTGTTGTGTTTAGGCAGAGTTTGCCTAGTGAGAGCAACATCTTTTTATAAAAGAGCTACAGAGCTGCTTTTTTCTTTTCTTTCCTTATGTCAGGATGCTTCTGATTTATCTCAAGGCCTTTTGAGAAGGCCTGACTGACTCACACACAAACAGATTAATGGCACTTAGTGTAATACTGCAGTTTATACTAATATTTCATATTTTTGGCACACAGGTTATTTGCTTTAAAAAATGACACATTATGTATATAATACCTCGGTATTTATAGTTTAATAGGATTTTGGTTGCAGAGCTTTTACATTTAAAGGTATTTTTGTCCACCGCTAGGTGGTGCTATTTACCTGTAAGTGCTCCTCTTTACATTCAGGGCCTCTGGGATAGTCTTTCTTTTTTTTTTTTCTTTTTTGTTTAATTGAAAGAAATTTTCATATACAAAACAAGTCAAGGAAACATTTCAAAAGGTGTGTGTGCGTGTGCACTTTAGTTTTTAACAATATATAGTATTTAAAGGAACACACTCCACTTTTTTTGGAAATAGGCTCATTCTCCATCTCCCTCAGAGTTAACAATGCAGCGTCTTCTTTCTAAATCTGTAAATCTGTAGGTTAATAGGACTTTGGAGCGGGATCTTAAGGGATGGGGCGTGGCCAGGATTTTTGCTCGAGGCACCATATCAGCAGGCCAAACAAATGCTTGCTGTGTGTGGACACACAGACACGCATACACGTTTACACACACAAACCATCATATAGAAGAGAGATTTCTATATGTAAGAGATGTTATATTTTATTTTATTTTTTTTTCTTTATTTTCCTTAGCCGAAGGCCGTGTCGTTTGTTTTCTGACCTGGGAGTTGGATAGTCCTGGCTCAGGGACTTTTTTGGACGCCCTGTGTCACTACTGTTTCTGGCCTCTTGTTGTCTTTTGGTGTGTTTTCAGAGGTTCCACTCAAGGTCATATTGTTCATTTTCTTAACTAGGAGTCGGATAGTGCTTGGCGAACAACTTTTTTGGCTGCTCTGTGTCACTGGTGCTTGTCCTGGCCTCTTGTTGTATTTCAGTGTGATTTCAGAGCTTTTGGTATCGCTCGAGGTCGTAACATCCATTTTCTCAACTTGGTCTTGGATAGACCTTGACAAAGAACTTTTTTGGCTCCTCTGTGTCACTGGTGCTTGTCCTGGCCTTTTTTCCTTGGTGGAGAGCAGCTGTCGTCACTTCTGCAATTCTGTGCAACATAATTCAGGCCGCGCTTCCTCTTGAGTGGAAGCTGGAAATGTGTTTCCACAGAATTTGGCTCTGGGTTTTGGTGGTCCATTGTAGTAAAACCAGCGTAAGCTTGTTGGCTTTTGTATAGTAAGCATGTTCTTATTAGTAAATACTTTAAAGTATTTACGATAAGATTTAACAATAGTGTGGGTACTGCTTTACAAACCTTATTATAATTATTAAATGAAACGTCTATTTTACACTTATCATTAAATTATTCATAAGATAGCAAGTTTCCGTTTTTATCAAGCAGATCAACAACAAAACATACACCGCTATCATACCAGTCTGATTTAGATAAGGACTTCTTATTGATGACTATAACCCTATTATTCTTTTACCATTTTTTTTCTATTTTTCTATTTTACCATCTTGGTAAATCATTTTTAAGGCAAGCTATGGCATTTTCTTCCCAGACTTGATCCTTGATCCATGATTATTACGACAGCACTTGAATGCACATCTTCAGTTACCTGTTTGACTTACAGCCTTAAAATTTTTCATAAGGAGTCACTTTCTTGCAAAAATAAATATGTTAAGGGCCGCTACAGAATATTTCTGCCTTCCATGTTCAATCGTCTTAGATGTGCATGACGGAGGGAACCACTAGGGGGCGCTCCAGCTTAACTAGATTAGGTTAGCCGTTACATTTCCTGCATATAGACTCAGCTGTATAGAGAAAAAATATAGTAACACACGCATAGTTTAGAGAAGCCCATTAAAAGCCTTAAAATCATCCTACCAATGCCATCATAAGAATGCTGAACCGTACAAACCTACAATAAGTCCTCCTTTTAGAATACCAAGTTCCCTTTCAGCACATTTCCAGGTATCAAAATATCACTGCCAAGCACAGAAAGAACAGCGAAATGCAAATCACCGTGTTCGCACTGAACATTAAATCTAATTAGAAGTTAATGAACTATATCCTGCAGCTTCAGATATATTAGAATATCTGAGGTTTACCATTCTTGGACTGAGATTGCAGAGATAATATGTGGTATATGAAATAAGAACACATTTTATACACACTGACAGTGAACCCTCTCGCTGCCGAAAAGCCAGTCAGGCCATTAAAAAAAGGTCGTCTGTGGTGGGAAGGTGTAATTAATTCTGAAATTGGTTGCAGCGAAAAATGACGACACGGAAAAGGAAAGATGATTTTCAAGGTTTAAGTCCGCTAGATGATGTGAGTTGATGATGATGATGATGATGAATGAAGACAGAAGAGCGGACATAAATTTAATCTATACCGTGTATGGACTGATATAACTAGATTTGGAGGTACATGCAAACATATATGATATATACGTTGTAGCTGATTCCACACGATTTTTCTTCTTTTTCTTCTTCTCAAAACCTAGTTCTTATATCAAAATTTGGTGCTTTTATCAAAACCTGGTTCTTATATCACCCAGAATGGCAACAGGTGGCTCGAAGATTATGGTGCGTAATGCAAATATCACTTAATGCAATCTCAGGTTGTTTGTCAGAAGTAGATTTAAGAAAATGGTTACAGATGTCTGAACATGATTCTTTGTAACTCTAAACTTCAACCTCAACTCGTGCATCATTTGAGGCCTTCATCACCCAAATGAGTCTTTACACAGCTTTTTCCACCTGTGCACTCTTACTCACTGAGACCTTGAAACCAGTAAAGATGTTAAAATAAATGAATAAAGATAACATTGAAAAACAGAAAACGATTTACATTTATGGAACAAAATGTAAGTAGCATGTCATGTTGTATTAAGCCAAGGCTAAGGTGGAGTAAAGGATTTTTAGAGTTACTATAACAGGAAAAGTGAAAAATGTGGCTATGAAAGATAGTGAAGATTAAATATAAAGTGACTTATATGAGTAAAATAAATTTCACTAAGTACACTTAGCAGATTTTTACAGATTTTTTGTGTCCCTCTTTCTGTTTTTGTAGAGCTTGAATTACTGCCAGCATCGCTGCCAATGTGAGGTTTTTTTGGGGGGGGATGCTCACTCGGCAGAAGATATTTTTTTAATTTGATCATATAGTTGAGTTATTCATCTTGTCAGGGGAGTAGCTTTGCAACGAAGCAAGGTTTTGTCAGGCAGAAGAAGTGTGTGCATCCCTGAGAGCTGGGACCAACTGGCTGTTGCCATGGATACTTGGTGCTGACACCACAAGAACTGTGTAGGTTTGTTGAAGATATAATTAATAACAAAGGATTAGAGGCAAAGGTAGCATGGGGCTCAGTATGAGAAACCTCATCACACAGTTTCTATAATTGGCACTCTTTCCGTGTGTGTGTGTGTCTGTCCGTGTAATTGTGTGGACACCGCAACAAAAGTTCTTGAAAAAAACAAAAACAGTAGCACCCTCATTCTCTGCTGTCGCATTTATCTTCTTGACAAGCAATTTGCTCTAAATATGTTCCCTTGGTTTGAGTTTCAGAATGTTTTTTGGAAAGTAATTTATTTGTACCTGCATTACCGTGATTGGCCCATTGATGCATATCCTGGAGATCTTGGGAACATTTATTAGACATAATTAGATAATTGATATGTTTTTATGATACCGTGGCTTTCACGTCGCTGTGCAGAATCTTAAATATGGAACATTTTTACAAGGAGTAATGTACAGACTTAATGAAGGCAAAAGGCTTTATAACAATATGAATCAATGGATACTGGATGTGCAAAGAAAGAAAGAAAGAATTTGTTAATCTGTAATTTTTCTGTTGTGTTGGCTGCAGCGTTTTTAATTGCATTTTTCAGAAACTACAGTCATCCTAATATCCTAATCATGTCTTTTCTTTTTAGATAGGCTTATTTAATATAAAAGATTTACAGACCACAGGAGTGTGTCTAAAGTTACGGCTTGGAGTGGCCATGATTTTCCCTATCATATATACCACTGGACTAGTGCTTCTTGAGATTCAACACATTTCATACTTTAGTTTTAATAAAACAGGTGCAGGTTGCACAGCACGTTCAAAAACTATGAGAAATCACTTGGTTAACTGACTGTCATAAGTTCAACCAATGGTTTTGCTAATGCAACACTTTCATTTTTCAGTGAAATTTCAAAGTCTTCAGTTGTCTCCAGCATTTCAGTAAAAGTCTCCATGAAACCACTGGCTTACCCATCCTAGCTACTTTTCCATTTTCCATTTTTGAGCACTTTACTTAATTTATTTGTTATGTTTAGCTTATACGTAAAACCGTTTGACCCTTTTTTCTTGCAGTTTCAGTAGTTAATATATTAGCCAACAGTCCACAATTTCACAAATTTATTAATTATATAATTAATTATATATAACCCTATTATATAACTATTTCAGTGATTTACCTATGCTGTTATCTTGCAGTTTTAGAAAGCAGTTTAACTCCTAGCCATATTTTATAGCTTCTGTAGCTTCTTAAAGTGTTTACCCCAATGATTGTATGCAGTGTATGATTTATCAAGTTTAGTTATCAATTCCATTTGTTTATTTATACTATTAGCTAATAGTTTTGTTTTTTGTTTTTTTTTACTATTAGCTAAACCTTAGCTGGTGATTTTAGCCATATATTATATATTCCCTTTTTGACCTTTCCTATTACTGTTTTTTGAGGCTTTTGGTCTTTCCTGTGACTTATT